TCAATATGCTCTGTGCTCCTCTATCTGAAGAATGAGCAAAAAATCTCTAAATTTGGCTATTCAGATATAAATTTTCTGAAACTTGGGTATAGAACACATTGACTGAAGGCAAAAACTCCTGAACATTGCATTTAGGGGCCAGAATGCTAGAAAATCAACCATCTCTTCCTGCTTTTTCGATGTCTGCAGCTACTCTAATTTCTCAACTTCCTACTTCTTTCATCCCCTCCTAACCCACACACATTGTTCCCAGCCTCTGGTAACTATCTCTACCTCCATGAGATCCACTTTTTTAGCTCCCACATAGGAATGAGATAATTATGAGACAAATGTGATATTTGTCTTCCTGTACCTGGCTTATTGCACTTAACATGATGACCTCCAGTTCCATCCATGTTGCTGCAAATATGGCCAGATGGGATTCCATTGTGTATATATACCACATACCACATTTTCTTTTCTTAAGGTAAAATTTTATTATTTTTTATTTTAAAAATTCATTGGTAAAATATGAAAACATAAACTTTACCTTTTCAACCATTTTCTTAAAAGCTTTTATTTTAGATTAAGGGGTACATGTGCAGGTTTTTGTATAGGTAAACTGTATCATGGAGATTTGGCATACAGATAATTTCATAGCCTAAGTAATAAGCATAGTACCCGATGTGTAGTTATCTGATTCTCTCCCTCCTCCCACCCTCCATCTTCATGGAGGCCTGGTGTCTGCTGTTTCCCTTCTTTGTGTCCACATGTTCTCGTTTAGCTCCCACTTACAAGTGAGAACATGCGATATTTGGGTCTCTGTTTTTGCATGAGTTTGCTTAGGATAATGGCCACCAGCTCCATTCGTATTACCGCAAAGGACATAATCTTTGTTTTCTGATTCTCTGCCTCCTCCCACGCTCCAATGTCATGTAGACTTTGGCATCTGTTGTTTCCCTTATTTGTGTCTGCGTGTTCTCGTTTAGCTCCCACTTATAAGTGAGAACATGTGGTATTTGGGTTTCTGTCCCTGCATGAATTTGCTTAGGATAATGGTCTCCAGCTCCATCTATGTCACTGCAAAGGACATGATCTCAATTTTTTTAATGGCTGCATAGTTTTCAATGGTGTAGATGTACCACATTTTCTTTATCCAGTCTACCATTGATGGACATTTAGGTTGATTCTATTTCTTTACTATTGTGAATAGTGCTATAATAAACATATGTGTGTGTGTGTCTTTATGATAGAATGATTTATTTTCTTTCAGGTATATACCCAATAATGGGATTGCTACGTCAAGTGGTAGTTCTGTTTTAAGTTCTTGGAAGAATTGCTACACTGCTTTCCACAGTGGCTGAACTAATTTACCTTCCCACCAGCAGTGTATAAGTGTTCCCTTTTCTCTGCAACCTCACCAGCATCTATTATTTTTGACTCTTTAATAGTAGCCATTCCGACTGGTGTGAGATGGTATCCTATTGTGGTTTTAATTTGCATTTATCTAATGATTAGTGATGTTGAACATTTTTTCAAATGCTCATTGGCCGTGTATATGTCTGCTTTTGAAAAGTATCTGTTCATGTCCTTTGCCCACTTTTTAATCTGGTTGTTTGTTTTTTGCTTGTTGATTTGTTTAAGTTCCTTATAGATGCTGGATATTAGATCTCTGTTGGATTCATACTTTGAGAATATTTTCTCCCATTCTGTAGGTTGTCTGTTTACTCTGTTGATAGTTTATTTTGCTGTGTAGAAGCTTTTCAGTTAAAGTAGTTCCCATTTGTCAATTTTCATTTTTGTTGCAGTTGCTTTTGGTGTCTTTGTTATAAAATCTTTGCCAGATCCTGTGTTCAGAATGGTATTTCCTAGATTATCTTCCAGGGTCTTAATAGTTTAAGTTTTACATTTAAGTATTTAACTCATCTTCAGTTGATTTTTCGGTATGTGGTATAAAGAAGGGGCCCAGTTTCAATCTTCTGCATGTAGCTAACCAACCACATTTTCTTTATCTGTCCATCTACTGATGAACACTTAGGTCGATTCCATATCTTTGCTATTTTTGAATAGTACACATGCCATTTTAGATCTCCTGAGAATACTCTCCCTCAAGATAGCATACTGGTGCCAAGGTTTAGAAAAACAATAACAGCAACATCAACAATAAACAAAGAAACAAAAGATACTCATTGGAGAGTTATCTCTTAAGTAGCCTTCTTTTTCTCTGGTTACAGTACATATTTTTTTTTGTATCCACACACTGTTTCCAATGAGTCTGAAAAGTTTATGTTTAATTTTTTAGCCACAGTGGGTTATTTTCCACTGGTTTACAGCCTGTTTCTAAAACCTGACATAAAAAGTCGCAAATCCAAGCAAGGTTATCAGTAGCTACATCTGCTGATTCCACATTCATACTTGTCAGAAAACAAAACAAAACAAGAAACAACGGATCTGAATCAATTTCTGCACATTCTACCTAAGAGAATTCTTTCTTTCTTTGTTAATCCATGAATTTAATAATTACTAAATATTTGCTCTATGGCAGCACCTTACTATTTGTCCAATTGCCATATGCTTTTTAGGGGTTCTCTTCCTCCTCTTTTCTGTATTTCCTTTTCTACTCCATACTTCTCAGAATCTTTATAAGTTTCTCCTATTTTAAAAAACAAAAACAAATATCCCAAACTAATGTTTTCCTCTGGCTTCACCTTCTTTCTTTCCTTCACAACATTTTTCAACATTTGGGTTCTCAATCTATCTGGAATCAATTCTTGTGTATGGTTTGAGGTAGGGCTCCAGATTATTTTTCTCCCATATGAATTACAATTGTTCCAGTTCATTTGCTAAATAGTTTCTTCTTTCTCCAGTAATTTGTTATGCTGCCTACATCATATATCAAAATTCCATTTATGTATACTCTGTTTTGTGAGCTTTCTATTTTGTTCAATCAGTTAACAATTCATTCCTACACTATACCTTTTAAACTTTAAAATAGCTTTATAATCTTTACAATAAAGTTTTTTTCTCTCTTTCTTCCTTTTGAGAAATAAATTGCCTATTCTTTGTCTTTTGCTGCTCTACATAAATTCTAGAACCAATCTGCCAAAAAGTCCTGCTGGGATTAATATTTTTATTTTGAGAACATAGAGCTAATTTATCTGCATTTCTAATTGTCATATACTTAAGTTATTTCATCAGGAACATTCTGATGGTAAAAATTTTTGCCACCATTTGTCATTAATTCCTTAAGGCAATTTTCTAGGTATTAAAATGTTTAGTAGAATATGTTCTCTCCCCATTAAACATTGTATTATGAAACATTTTAAATGAACAGACAAGAGTGAAGCAATAATAAAATATATTCAAGGTCAAATATCTAGATCGAAAAATATTAACATTTGGCCATTTCAAAGTAATTTGCAGACATCATGACACTCCTAAAAATAAAGACATTTGTACATTTCTTAAAAATAAGAACATTTTCTTATATAACCATATTATTGCCCTAAAGAAAATTAAATATAAATCCCTAATAAACCGTAATACTAGTTCATTTTTAAATAACCCCCAATTGTCCACAAGATATCTTACTTGGTTTTTTTCCTGAACAAAAAAAATCCAATTAAGGTTAACCTATTGTATTTGGTCATTATATCTTTTTAGTCCCTCTTAATTGAGAAGAGCCCCAATACCTTTTTTTCTTTTGAATAACATTGAATTTTTGAAGAAACTGGATCAGTCATCTTGTGGAACTTCTAAAATCTGAATTTGCTTGACTGATTGTTTCCATCTAGATGCCATTTTTTTTCTTTTATCTCCAATATTCCTGTGAACTGGAAATTTAAATGAATAATTAGCTTCAGATTAAACATGTTTAATAAGAATATCTTAAGAAGAATACTGGGCACTTCATATTGTATTACATCAGGTGGCACATGAAATCCATATTGTCTTATTATTGGTGATGCCAAGTTTGAGCACTTGATTGAGATGTTAAGAGTCAGCTCCTTCCACTGTTATTTTTTTCTAATTTTTACAATAAGACAGTAAACTGTCTGGCTCCATGTTAATGTATCATTCTTAATTAACATTTTATCTAATGGTTTTAGTACATTTGATAGTCATTACCACAATCAATAATTTTATTATGGAGTTGCAAGACAGTGAATATTTCTCCCAATACTATAATGTTTTTATGTTTACTAGTTGGCATTTTTCTATAAGAGAAAAAATTTTTTATCAACTAGAACAAAACAACAGTTTCTCTTCTAAAATTGGGTAAACATCATTTTCATTTATTTACCAATTTACACAACAATATTTTTATATAATTACCACCTCCAATGATTTGTCCTGTGGAACCGCCTTCGACTAGACACCTCCCTATAGTCTTTGAACTCTTGCTTTCTGACACAGAAAAGTTCAGGGTAACCTTGTGATTTCCCAAATCATGACGCAGAATCAATCATTTTACCAAAACACCCTGATATTTTAGTGGAAATTAGAGTAAAAGCAAAAATCTGGACAGTATGTTATTTATTGTCAGCAGGAAGATTTTTTTTAGGCATCTTAAGTGAACAGGGCTAAGAAATATATTTTAAAGAAAATTGTGAGTTTTAGACTTCTCTTTTTGGCCAAGGAGGACTAATAACCAAAAAATATATTGAACCATCTGTATGAAACAATTTTCAAGACACTGAATATGAGACAACAAAGGACAGAGTTCCCCAAGAGATGGAAAACAAGTAAGATGAGTCACATGATTATCAAACTTATGCCTTTAAGAGAGCTTCCAGGCCCCCATTCAGGAAGTGGGAGCCCTGCAGGGTCCAGTGGATTCCCTGAATTGAGGAGAAAATGAAAAATCCAGAGAGAATAAGGCAGCTAGGGTTTTAGGCCAGATTACTGGAGAGGAAAGGACGTAGAAGGAAAACTCTAAAAACAGAGGTTTTCTGTCAAGTATACAGCTAAGTGAATGTATGTAGGATAACTACCTGAGGCTGGGGAAGATCTACCCAAAGGATTAAAGACGTGGCAATGTTGCTGGTGACAGCAAAAATGACCCACCAATGGAAACAGCTGGCTTCCCTGCATAGGTGATTATCCTGAACCATCTAGGCCAAATAAGCGCTGGCTATGTCCCTGTATTGGATTGCCACACAGCTCACATTGCATGCAAGTTTGCTGAGCGGAAGAAAAAGATTGATCGTCGTTCTGGTAAAAAGCTGGAAGATGGCCCTGAATTCTTGAAGTCTGGTGATGCTGCCATTGTTGATATGGTTCCTGGCAAGCCCATGTATATCCACCTTTGGGTCGCTTTGCTGTTCGTGATATGAGACAGACAGTTGTGCTGGGTATCATCAAAGCAGTGGACAAGAAGGCTGCTGGAGCTGGCAAGGTCACCAAGTCTGCCCAGAAAGCTCAGAAGGCTAAATGAATATTATCCCTAATACCTTTTGCGTGTGACAGTTTTAAGTTATTAGTTTTTAAAATCAGTACTTTTTAATGGAAACAACTTGACCAAAAATTTGTCACAGAATGTTGAGACCCATTAAAAAAGTTTAATGAGAAAACATAAATAAATAAATAAATAAATAAATAAATAAATAAATAAATAAAGACTGCTACATGTATTGGGCAGGAAGTAGTGCCTATGCTTACCAGGCAGACTGGAAAACCTCAAAATTCATGGGTCACTGAACAGGATACTCAGAAGGAACTCCTCTCAGTAGTGGAGAGTAATTCACCCAAGATTGAGCGTGTCTCCAGTCCCATCTGAGAAAAACAATCCAAAACAAAATGAAGCAAAGCCATAAATCTCAAACTATCTCAAACTCTTTCCACGTATCTTAACTTTATCCGTGAATAAACTTCGACTACTTATAGAAATATAAAAATGTCCAGCACCCAACGGATTAAAATTCACAATGTCTGAAATCTACACAACAACAACAAAAATGTCAAACATACAAAGCAATATAACTTCTAATGAAAAGAAACTTCAAGCAAACAAAAATGACCCAGAATAAACATAGATATTATAATAAAATTATCAAGAAAGGACATTATCAACTGAATTCCATATATCCAAAAAGTTAAATAGAGTTATGGAAGGCATAATATAGACAAAAATCAAACTTTTAGAAATTAAAACTTTGCTGTCTGAGATGAAAAACACACTAGAAGGGATTAATGGCAGATTAGACACTACAAATGAAAAAGTAGTAAAACTGAAGACCATAGAAACTCTTCAAAATAAAATACAGAAGAAAAAATAATTTTAAAAAGTAAAAGGTCATTAGCATACTGAGGGATAACTTTTAATGGCCTTATATATGTATAAGTGGAATCCCAATAAAAGAATGGGTCACAGAGAGAGTATTTGAAAAAATAATGGCCATTTTTTTATATTGATGAAGACTATAGATCTACAAATCCTAGAATCTCAAAAACAAAAACAAAACCTACGACAAGAGTCATGATGAAAATTACACCAATCCTATTATAATCCAATTTCTCAAAAACAGTGATGAAAAGAAAAGTGTAAATGTATCTAAAGAACAATGATACATTACAAATATAGGAACAAAGTTAAGGATGGTCAAAGATTTTTTATCAGAAACTGCAAGTGAGAAGACAGTAGAACAACATCTTTAAAGTGCTGAAGGAAAACAATTGTCAATCTAGAATTCTATAGCTACTGAAATTGTCATTCAGAAATGAAGGACATTTCTTCAAAAAGAGATTCTCAGGCATACAAAAGCTAAAAGCACTCTCCAGCAGACCCATACTACAAAAATGTTGAAGAAGTTTCTTCAGGTGGAAAGAAAACGACACCAGATGGAAACGCGTATCTAGGCAAAGGAACAAAGAGCCCTGGAAATGGTAGCTGTTGGATAAATCTATAAGAATCTCTTATTATTATTTAAATGTCTCTAAAATATAATGTTAGGCTGTGTGCAGTGGCTCACATCTGTAATCCCAGCAATTTAGGGGGTCGACACAGGAGGATCTCTTGAGCCCAGGAGTTCAAGACCAGCCTAGGCAACACAGTGAGACCTCATCTCCACAAAAAATAAACAAAATTAGCTGGATGTGGTGGTGCATGCCTGTAGTCCCAGCTACTCAGAAAGCTGAGATGAGAGGATCGCTTGAGCCTAGGAGTTCAAGACTACAGTGAGCCGAGATGGTGTCACTGCACTCCCACCTGGCGACAGAGGGAGACTCTGTGTTAAAGAAACAAAGAAATAAGATAAAATAAAAAATTGATATTAAACAAATTATAAATAAAATAATAGCAATGTAGTTATATGTAGTTGTTAATAGAGTTAATGTAGAGTTTATAAGATCTATTAAAGTAAAATGTGTTACAATAATGTCAGGATGGGAGAAAGAGACATATACATGTTTAAGGTTGCTACAGTATATGTGAAGCGATCTATCACATGAAGGTTGACTGTGATAAGTTAAAGATGTATACTATAAACCTTAAAGCAATTACTAAAATTTAAAGAAACCCACAAAGTTACAGCTAACAAGCCAATAAAGAAGAGGAAATAAAATCATTAAAAATAGTTCCAAAGAATACAGAAAAAGACAAACAAAGAACAGATTAGACAGAAAACAAGTAACAGGTTGATGCCATAAAAAAACCTTAGCTTTACACTCTTTCTGCTTTACCTTCACCATCCAGCCTCCAAATAAATTTCTAGCTTCTAAAATATTTTCCTGTCTTCCAAAGCCTGTTCCTGCATGCTTTCCAAGTTCTTTTCTTTTGACTCCCAAGTATCCAATACTTGGATACACCACACCTTCTTTTTCGTTTTTAGTATTTCCTACTCAGAGTGGGTCCTGTGCCTTATGAAACAGCCCTTAATTGATGTTAACTGTGTTCTACCACTGCAAGGACCCCACTAAGTTTTCTTTGCTTCTTCCGAGGCCTTGACTGACTCTCAGCTCCACTGTGAGTTCTGGAGCCTCCTCTACTAATCTTGGGTGATTATTTCTCCAATTACATGTTAATCAGATTTTACATCTTCTCTATTTTCTTATTATGTGGGTGATTTTATTTATTTTTTATTTCCATTGTTCTTAGTAGAATGTGTAGATAGGTTAAATTTTGGCAGCCACTATTATCTACAGGAACCCCTCATGTCTTTCTCCTCATTTCCCATTTATACTTTAATGGTATGAAAGGTGGTTTCCTACTTGACTACAGGGTTCTTAGCTAGATCAGCTATGCCTTTGTTGCAGACTTCAACAGGCAATGACTCAATCCTTACCTTATCAAATTGTCTGTACATTTAGATATTTTTAGTAGTTTCCCATTTCTTGAAGCACTTTATTTTTCTTTAGGTTCTTTGATATCTAAAGATTTTATGGTTTTCCCTCTATCTTTTTGCCTACTTCTTGGTCTTTGTGCATTATTTTTCTTTTATTTGCCTCTGTCTGATTCAGGATCCTGTCCCAATCCTGACTTCTTATCACTCTAAACATACTTTCTTCTTTTCATAACTTCATTTTTCATCTCTATGCTAATGATTCTCAAAATATTTTTCTAAACCAATAACTCTTGCCCAAACTCAAACTATATAGTTTCCTGCCTAGTGAATATTTCTATTTATTTTCCAAAGCTATTCAAACTCATCATGCCCCAAACTAAATTCATTATGATTTAAGCCTTCACTCTTCCAAATCCTACTCCTCCTCTTAAATGCCACCTCTTAAATCACACACAATTATCCAAACCTGAAATCTGGTGAGTATTTCTACTACTTCCTCCTCCCTCTTCCTCAATGTCCAGATGATTGTACCTCGTTGGTGCCTATGACTTCATCAATGTATTACAATTACTATTATCACTACTTTAGCAAGTCTTTATCATCTCTCACCTGAATTAGTTCATAGCCTTCTATCTTCCTGCCTACAATAATTTCCCCCATCCAATCAATTGCTTATAGTGCAATCAGAGTAAATTTTCTAAACTCTAACTTAATCATGGGTTTCAACTCCTTAAAAATTTAACTATTTGGTGTGACCTCAAGATAAGTTCTGTGCTCCTTACACTGCATACAAAGTCAATAATTTAGCCCCTCTCTGTGAATTCAGTCTTTAATGTCATTACTTTTTCACCTCACACTCTACATTCCAGTCATGCTGAACCTTGTGCAACAATCCCAGGACTTTGTCTGTACTGCTCCTCCCTTTTCACATAATTAACTCTGGATGACCTTTTAGGGCTCATCTTAAATATTCCTTCCTCTTTGAAGCCCTCCCTGATTGCCTTCTGCCTCACAAATGAGTTAGGGGCATTCCCTTTGATTTCATTATACCTGGTACTTATTCTTTCATACTGTAATTGTAACTTGATTACAGTTCTGTACTCTCTACTACATGATGAGCTATTTGGTAAAATAAATGCCTTCACTGACTTATGCCTAGCAGTTAACACAGAACCCAGCATGTAACAAGCACTCGATGAATAACTGTTAAATGAATAAAGTAATATATGCATACAAATACAAATGATTGATTTACACTTACGTGTTTATTCTCAGTTGCTTTTCTACTGATAATTCTCATCAAAAAATTTTAAAAAGTGTAAACATTCTCAGATAAGTATGATTCTAAGACTTGTAAAACTCACAATGTCAATAAAATTGGTTATCTTTATTATTTTAGACTGAAAGATTTTTAAATCCCTTAAAGTAGCAACTGTATCTTTCCAAATGAAACTGAAACTCTGCTAGGTTCTACTCTGTAGATGATAATAAGAGATTGTACTTATTGAACACTGACTGTGTCAATCAGTGTTGTCGGAGCTTTATATGTAGCAAGTTATAAAATCCTCACAATTACCCAATGAAATCGCAAACCGAGACATAGTTAGATTTAGTAACTTCCCCGAAGTTACACAGCTAGTAAGCAGAGCTGGGATTTGAACCCAAGTAGTCTAGCTACAGAATACTATTAAACACGATGCTTCACTGCTACTTGGCTGTCTTGGTTGGAGAGCCTTGGTTGGAGAGCAAGAATGCTCTTGTTACCCTTTGGTTCAACTTCCAATCTTTAATATGCTTACATGTATAAATGTGTAACCCATTTCATTTAGATGCTACAAAACCAACTCAGAATTAACTTTATCCTTTGAAACCAAAAGCATAAATGCTAATACCTTTTTTTTTTTTTAATTTTTTTAAATACAAGGTCTCACTCTGTCTCCTAGGCTAGAGTGCAGTGGCATGATCAAAGCTCACCGCAGGCTTGGACTCCTAGGCTCAAACAATCTCTTGCTTCGGTCTGTTGAGTAGCTGGAACTAATGTACACAGCACTACACCCAGCTAATTTATTTTTATTTTTTATTTTTGTAGAGATGGGGTCTGCTACTTTGCCCAGGCTGGTCTCAAACTCCTGGCCTCAAGTGACCCTCCCACCTTGGCCTCCCAAAGTGCTG